CCGTGGTTAATTTGTTGTTATTTTTTATAAATTTCTTTTCAATAATTGTAGTTAATTAGAGTACTTCAACCAATTGCAAATTAAACAAATCCTAATAAATGTATAATGAGCAAATAGTTTCAGGTATGCATGTCAGCATTATCTTTTTTTTTTTTTCCTCTTTTTTTTTTATGGAAATCTAATGCTATTTTTGTTACATATATAATATCAGTAATATTGATATTATTCGCATACAATACGACCAATGGCAGTCATTGGTTAAAAAATTATTGTATTATTAATCTCTACAATGTCACGCAATTTTGATTTCATCTTTATAATATAAAATCTAAATAATTTTTAATTCAATCTTTATTATTATATTTTATCAATATATTGCTACATATTTGAAAATATTTAGCTATACATATGAAACTCAATACTTATAAAACTACATCAACATGGACCTATTTTAAAAAATATGTAAATGGTGAATGTACAAATATTAATGTTAAGAAAACTAAACCGGCTATTGAATCGACAGAGGTACTCATTCAAGGTTCAATAGTCAAACCGTGATTTGAACCATAAGTCAAGTAATTATGAATAAATTTATCTATTTTAAATTTTAAACAATATATGTTTATAATAAAAAGAAATAATTATATATTATAAAAAATGAATTTTTAAATTTCAAACAAGATCATAAAAGATAAAAAAGGAAACATACATTAATATTCCATCATTTAAATCCAATAAACAAATACTTATTTCATAGTTTATAATTTATAACTTTAAAATGTGTGCATATATACATATTCTATACATATTTCTTGCATATTTGTTCTTTTTTTTCATTTATCAATGTTTATTATGTATAAATATGCACACATTTTAGTTTATAAATATGAATAAAATTTTTTTAAAAAAATGAGGACCAATTCAACTAGAATTTTTACTAATTTTAATCAAATCAAGACTGGTTCTGCTGATTCTTGATTAGTTTTCATATTGACCAATTCTCTATTGCGACTAGATGGACTTAGGATTGATTTCCATTTTAACTGGTTGAACTTGTCGATCTCATTTGATTTTAATAACACTAACAAATATAAACTTTTAAAACTCATTCATTTGATTTATTTTATATGTAAGCTACAAGAAAACTTTTATTTTTGTTTATCGTGTACTGTTTAACTGAATATTCACTTATCATAATTGCTCACTTTGAAGTTCTTTTTCTTGTAGGTTTTTTTCTTTGTAAGGATTCTTTGTGATTGAATGGTTCTTGAAGTTTTTTTCCCGTGAGCTTGTTCTTGTAGTGTTTTTTAAGCTTTACTTTTAAAGTTGAGTGTGAATTTTAACTAAACAACAAGAGATGTTGCCTATTAATCATTTGGTTTAACTACATCTTTCTATACTGAACTTGGCTTTGACGATTAACTTCTCATTACCCTCAATGTGATTTAGTGTGGGACTTCTTCAAGCATATGGTGTGACTTGATGTTTTTTAAATTATGCTTGCAAACTCGACATTATTACAGAAATGGGTTGTAGACTTACAAGGTCGCACATATAGGAGCATTTTTTCCTAAAAAAAAAGTTGTTGTACGTATGAGCAGAACAGGGACCGTTTTAAAATATAAAGGTTCCCTTGAATAAAAAGAAATATATATATATATATATATAAAGGTTTCCGTAACACATTTGAGACTTTTAAGATGCATACATTCGTATTTTTTCTTCTTGTCATGGGTAATGAAAAGCAACATCACATGGGTCTGTGTTTCATTCTGCAAAATGGCGCACTGATGTCCATAACACGGTTTGAGGAATGAAGGCGTAAAGACTTGAGAGAAGAGTTGGGTTATCAATTGAGCTCGTTGTTGAGACTTCGGAGCATTATCATACTTTTTCTTCTTCTGTAGCCATTCCTATTTTTTATTAAAAACAATTTTGTTTGGAATAATGTCAGGCATTAAATATGGAAATTTATCCATTCAGTACACACAAAAATTCCATTTGGCTCACTCCCTCCATTTTGCTTGACATGCCAAGTCAAAATGTTAATTTCTAACAACATTTTAAAAAATCGGGCTGATTATTTAGCTGTAGAGGTATTGGTTTTAAGGTTAGTAATAAAAATATAATTGACTCGTGATAAATTATTATAAATAAAGTATTTTGTTAAATTGGATAAAATATTAGCTTAATAGTTTATCAGTTTAACCATATGAATTGATCTGAAGTTCTATACTATAATTTCCATTCAAATTTAGGACCATTTTCCGAGAAACTTCTCATAGTTAATTTCTTTGACATTCGTAGAATTTCTTAATAGTTTTCTAGCAAATTTAAGGCCACATATAATGAGAAAAGTAGTAGGCTTTTTTATTATTATTATTATTATTATTATTATTATTATAATTTAAATCTAAAAGACTCTTGATGATTTCATTCCTATTTCCTAGTCTTCCCTCTCGTTTTTTCATACACACACACAATTTTTTAAAAAAACTAGTATATTAAATATTTTTTATTCTACACATTATTGTTTAAATTATCCATTTAATATATATATATATATATATGTATATTATTATTGTTTTAATTCTTTTCAATAAAAAATAAATGAGTAAAATTATTGACTTAGAATTGAGGGATTTTAAACTTATTTTTTATAATAATTTTTTAATTTTTTAAAAAACGGTACAATGATAATATAAAAGGACCACTTTCATAATTATATTATATAAATAAATACTTAAAAAGTAAATAAAAAAGTAAATAAAAAATCCAATAAAGTAATGAAAAGCATCATCACATGGTTCTGTCCTTTCATTCCGCAAAAGGAACACTGTTGTCCGCAACACGGTTTGACTCATGATGCGTGAAGACTTGAGGGAAGACTTGGGCTTCCAGTTGAGCTCGTGGCTGCTTGTTGAGACCTGAGAGCATTATAATACTTTCATCTAATTCAATACACACAAGAGTTCCATTTGGCTTACTTTCCCCTTTTTGCTTCTCATCTTCTTCCATTTTTCTTTCTCTGAAATTTGTAGCAGCCTGCTCAACTTCATCTTATAGCACTTCGAAATCCAACAAATCTTTCCACATTACTTCATCCTTCAGGTTTCTACTTTCTTCCTTGCTCCGTTTTAGGTTTCTTCTGTGAATTGAATGGTTTAGATCTGTGAGATTTTGCTAACGTCAACGAGAAAGAATATATACACAGATTCTGCTTCCATTAATTGAAGTTTTCTTCCTTCTGTATATGTTTATTTTCTCTCTTTTATGCCTGGATGCTGATGGATGTATTTGAAATTTGCATGGTTGAGCTTTCGAATTGTTGTTATGGCACTTGAAGCTCATGGGGTTGACTACCCTTCAAGCTCTTTCGGTTCGGCTAGGAGATGGAAGTATCATGTGTTCTTGAGTTTTCGAGGAGAAGACACTCGTAGAAGCTTTACAGATCACTTGTTTTGTGCTTTACAACGCACGGGAATTAAAGCTTTCAGGGATGACGAAGAACTTGAGAGGGGGAGAAGTTATTAACCAAGTCTGCTCCAAGCAATTGAAGAATCTCTTTCTGCAATTGTTGTTATATCTCCAATTATGCTTCTTCAACCTGGTGCTTAGAAGAGCTCTCAAAGATTCTTCATTTCAAGAAAGAGTCAAGTCTTCATGTATTTCCAATCTTTTATGGTGTGGATCCGTCTGATGTTCGACACCAGAGAGGAAGTTTTGCAGAAGCATTTAAAAAGCATGAAGACAAACTTCCACAAGACAAGACGAAGGTGCAAGATTGGAGGGATGCTTTGGAAGAAGTTGCTAACTGTCTGGCTGGCATTCTGACTATCGGTAATTTCTTAAACTTCCAATAATTATCATGAATAATTTTTTAAAATAATACTAAGGGTGTGGATATGAAGAAGATTTCCTTTCATTTTAATTTGTGCACTGCATATTTGTGTAATTATAAAAAAATGAATATTAAGGGTGTGGATATTAATTATTTTAAAATATTTAAACATTGATGTTAGTTATATTATAATATGATTATATATATAGGAACAACATATTTTTGATTCTAGAGTTTCGGCCTTTCATTAAGATCCTAAAGTTTTTCATTAACTAAGGAATAAGTCTTAGAGTTAACTTTGAACAATATCTCCCGAGATCACATGTCCTTACGTACCAAGGATGTTTGATGACAATAGAGATTTTGACCAAAATTGACTATAATTTTATACTGATTTCTTAAATAATTTAAAAAAAGACCCATAGTAACCTTGACCTGTCTTGACCAAAACTCTAGAGGAAAAAACGTTTTCCCTTATATAAAATTCAAATACAAAATCTATGAAAAGTCAGATCATCTATGAATCATGATTAAATTGACTCACCTTAAACAAATCACTGTTCACGATCTAGTTGTTTAAAAAAAAAAACATATGGGGAGGCAATTTAGTAACAATCATGAAAAACAATTAGGAACCCAAGTTTGAGTGTAGATTTCATAATTGATCGGTCCTATCATAAAACAAATGAGAGGAAAAATAATTATAATTTTAAAACTAAGGCTGCAAGAATATAATTCATTATTCTTTCTATTACAAAACCAGCTATTTAATTTGCATTACAATAATTTTAAACAGCATGATAAATGTAGGTCAAGGTTAACTTATGTTACGTAGTTGAACTAAAAATGCTACCCATGTGACCGTGTTTCCTTATATCACATTAACTATTTTAGTTTATATAAATTAAAATTCAGTTGACTTAATGTTAAAGATATTACTTTATATTCGTTTGCAGGCACGAAACAAAACTCATTGAAGCTGTTATTGAAAAAGTGTGGTCAAAAATATATGATGAACTACATTTGACTCTGAGAGATTAGTTGGAATTGAATCAAAACTTGCAGATTTAAATTCACTTATAGAAAATGGATTGGATGATGTTCTATTTATAGGAATATGGGGCATAGGGGTTTAGGTAAAACTACTATTGCAAGAGCTTTCTATGAGAGAATGTATAGATTTTGAAGTTCATTGCTTTCTTCTTAATGTTAGAGAGGTAGATGAAAAAGAAGGTTTGATTGCCTTGCAAAAAAAAGTTCTTTCTTCTTTGGATAAAAGAAGCATGGATGTGGATGACTATCATGAAGGAAGGAAGTCGATAAAAAGCATGTTAAGCAATAGGAAAATTCTTCTTGTCCTTGATGATGTGAGTGATCTAAGCCAACTTGAGAATTTGGCTAGAAATCAAGAATGGTTTGGCAAGGGAGCTTAATAATAATAACAACCAGAGACAAGCATTTGTTATTATCACATGGTGTATCTACTTGGTATGACATCAAATTCTTGAGTGATGATGAATCCCTTGAGCTTTTCCACCAAAATGCTTTTAAAGGAAGTAAGCCAAGTGTAGATTTTTTGGAGCTTTCTAGAACTGTGATTCACTATGCTAGTGGCCTTCCTTTGGCGCTCAAAGTGTTGGGTTCATTTCTTTGCGGAAGAAATATATTAGAATGGAGAGATGCAATCGCTAGATTTAAGAAAGTTCCTCCTAATAATGGCATCTTGAAGATACTTAAAATTAGTTTCGATGGATTAGAAGAGGATGAGAAGACTATATTTTTAGATATTGCTTGCTTCTTTAAAGGGATGAAAAAAGATTATGTCATGCAAATCTTACAAAAATTGGATCTACATCCAATAATTGGAATAAAAGTTTTGGTTGATAAATCTTTGGTGATTATTAGTTCTGATACTGTATGGGTTCATGACATGCTTGAGGAAATGGCTAAGAATATTGTTGTTCAACAATCATCCCATGATGCTGGCAAACGTAGTAGGATATGGTCCTTGGAGGATGCTAATCATGTTCTAGAAAGCAATATGGTAATACTTATTTTTTGGGCCTTGTTACCATATAATATAATGCTCATAATTTTTTATGATTATGCACTTTTTATTTAGTAAATTCTTCCGTGCGTTATTTATATCATTAACTTGATTTTTTTCTTTTTTTTTATTTAGGGGACAGAAGCAATTCGAGGCATCGTGTTAAGATTAGACAAACCATATGTCTCCAATTGGGATCCTAAAGCCTTCATAAAGATGAGTAATCTTAAATTACTTATCATAAAAAGTGGTTGGCAATGGCATGCTGATTGTTTTTGTTATTTGAATCTTCCTTGTGGGCTTAAATTCTTTCCAAGTACATTAAAAGTGTTAGAATGGAAGGGATGCTGTTTAGATACTTTGCCAAGTCCGGTTCGAAAACAACCACAGGTAATTAACTATGGCTTTTCTATTAAAGATAGTTATATATAATTTGAAACAATTGATACTTGTTTAAGAATTTTTTTAAAATTTGTATCTTTTTATTTTTTCAGGTTTTAGGAAAGCTTAAGCACCTTGATTTAAGCCATTCAAGATATCTAATCAAAACACCAAATTTTGATGAAGTCCCTGATCTTGAAATACTCATTCTTGAAGGTTGTGTAAACGTTGTTGAAGTACATTCATCTCTTGGATGCCATAAGAATCTGGCCACAGTCAATTTGAAGGGTTGTAGGAGTATTAAAACTCTACCAAGAAAGTTTGAGATGAAACGCCTAGAGACTCTTACACTCTCAGGCTGTCCAAAAATCAAACGACTTCCTGAATTTGGCGAAAGTATGGAGCGTCTATCCCAACTTGATGTGGAGGATACTGGTATCACAAAACTACCTCAATCACTTGTCAATTTGACCACTCTTGCTGTTTTAAATCTTAGGAATTGCAAAAGTCTGGTATGCCTTCCCAATGTCATTCAATATATGAAGTCTATTAGAATTCTTAATTTTTCTGGTTGCTCAAAACTTTCAAGTCTTCCAGAGGTTTCGAATGAAAATGAGGCTTTAGAAGAGCTTGATGCTAGTGGAACTGCTATAAAGGAAGTGGCTTCATCAATTTGTCAGTTGAAAAATTTGAAATCACTATCTTTTAGTAGATGTACTGGACAAGCACAATCATCCTCACAAAATTTCTCTTCCATTTTCAGTAGGTTCTCTAGGATTACAAGGCCTTCAATATCCATTGGGTTATTGCTGCCCCCTTCTTTATCAAATTTATCATCATTAAGATTCTTACATTTAAGTCACTGCAATATCTATGATGAGTCCCTTCCTAATGATTTTAATGCATTATCATCATTGCGGGGGCTTGATCTGCGTGGAAACAATTTTGTTAACCTACCTAGTGGCTTTACCTCTAACCTTTTAAAGCTCCAATGGGTTAGGTTTAGTCATTGTCCAAGGCTTCAATCATTACCACGACTTCCGCCAAATATATGGTCTGCAGATGCAGTTGATTGTCCTTCAATGACACCTAAACTTGGTCCAGAACAGCTGTTGGAATGGCTCGAACAATTTGAATATGAGGTTGGTTTGATTTTCTCATTAGGATGTTTCTTACACATTATAATCATTATACTTCTCTAAAATATATACAAAAATATAGCTTCAAATAGCACAAATGTAAAAGAGCATTACATTTTGGATAATCTTAAAAGTTTTATTATATGGTTGTTTCTTGAATATTATAATCATCACACTTCTTTAACATGCTAATAATATTTGTTCCAGGATGGCTTTAAGTCAGAATGGTGGTTCTTTGTATTAAATATTCCAGGAAGTGAAGTGCCATCATGGTTTTTTAATCAAATTACTTCTATGATGAGGCTTGGTGTTGTAAACCAAATGTGTCAATTATCGCGGATATAGATGATCAATGCCTTTCAAGTGAATGGTGTGGAATAGCTGTATGCTTAGCCGTAGAAGGTTGTTTTACATCTGATTTTGTTGAAATTGATCGTCAAGCGATTGTGAGGTGGGAATGTAGAAATATTCCAGGCATGTGGAGCATCACTTTGACTGAGCGTTGGTATAGCCAATGCATTTTATTATTTATTCCATGCTTTTATAAGGGAAATCTTCAATTTTCTTTTTGGGTTGGCAATTCGTACGCATATAGTAAGGTCGAAATAAGGATAAGGAATTGTGGGTGGCGTGTGGTGTGTAAAGAAGATGTTGAAGCATGGCAAAGAACAAGGGGTGAAGGATGCAGTTGCAACAATGATTTAGACGACTGCCACGCTCTTAATGATGATGTGGTGGACATCTAAACTCCTCTTGCTAAATGCCAAAAATTGGAATAAATGATGGGTACGCACGTCAGCATTATCTTTCGTTTTTTTTTTTTGGACATCTCATGCTATTTTTGATGCATATATAATATCAGTAACATTGACATAATTCGCATACAATACAACCAATGGCAGTCATTGGTTAAAAATTATTGTATTATTAATCTCTACAATGCCACACAATTTTGATTTCATCTTTATGATATAAAATTTGAATAATCTTTAATTCAATCTTTATTATTATATTTTATCAATATATTGCTACATATTTGAAAATATTTAGCTATACATATGAAACTCAATACTTATAAAACTACATCAACATGGACCTATTTTAAAAATATGTAAACGATGAATGTACAAATATCAATGTTAAGAAAACTAGATTGGTTATTGAATCAGCAAAGATGCTCATTCATGATTCAATGGTCAAAACATGATTTGAACCATAAGTCAACTAGTCATGAATAAATTGATATATTTTAAATTTTAAACAATATATGTTTATAATAAAAATAAATAATTATATATTATAATAAAAATGAATTTTTAAATTTCAAACAAGATCATATAAGATAAAAAAGGAAATATACATTAATATTCCATCATTTAAATCCAATATACATATACTTATTTCATAATTTATAATTTATAACTTTAAAATATATGCATTTATACATATCCTGTACATATTTCTTGCATACTTGTTCTTTTTCTTCATTTATCAATGTTTATTATGTATAAATATGCATAAATTTTAGTTTATAAATATGAATTAAATTTTTTTAAAAAATATCAGGACCAATTCAACTAGATTTTTCACTAATTTTGATCGATTCAAAACCGGTTCTGCTAATTCTTGATTGGTTTTCATATTGGCCAATTCTCTGTTGTGATTAGATTGGGCTTAGGATTGATTTTCAGTTCAACTGGTTGAACCTGTCGGTCTCCTTTGATTTTAATAACACTAACAAATATAAACTTTTAAACTCATGGTTTGAGTTATTTTATATGTAAGCTACAAGAAAACTTTTATTTTTGTTTATCATGTACTCTTTAGCTGAAGATTCACTTATCATAATTGTTCACTTTGAAGTTATTTTTCTTGTAGGTTTTGTCTTTGCGAGGATTCTTTGTGATTGAATGGTTCTTGAAGTTGGTTCCTACAAGCTTGCTCTTGTAGTGTTTTTTAAGCTTTATTTTTAAAGTTGAGTGTGAATTTTAACCAGACGACAGGAGATGTTGACTGTTGATCATTTAGTTTAACTCCATCTTTCTATACTGAACTTGGTTTTGAGGATTAACTTCTCATTACCCTCAATGTGATTTAGTGTGGCACTTCTTAAAGCATATGGTGTGATTTGATGTTTTTTTAAAATTATGCTTGCAAACTCGAGATTATTACAGAAATGGGTTGTATGACTTACAAGATTGCACATATAGGAGCATTTCTTTAAAAAAAAGTTCTTGTACATATGACCAGAACAGGGACTGTTTTAAAATATAAAGGTTTCCATAACACATTTGACAGCTTTTAAGATGCATACATTCCTATATACCTTTTTTGTTTTGTTTTCCTTTGTTTTTTTAATGCATGGGAACCTCTATTTTGACAAACACTCCTTGAATAATTTTTTTAATTTTTTTTAAAAATTGTATTGTTGGAATCGATTTTGAAGAAAAACACTCCTAAAATAATTTTTATATTTTTACATTTTTAAGAATATTTTAAGGCATTTGATAGATTAAAAATGATATAAATATAATAACATCAATATTTTTAATTTTTTAAGAAAATATCTATAACAATGTACTTAGCTATATATATATATATATATATGATTTTTTAGTACAAAATGTTTTAAGCCTGAAGGAATTGATAAGCATTTAATATATACTACATATAATTTTTTTTAAAAAAGATTTGGGTGTTTGAACCAAACTTGAACCAAATTGTCCTGAATGTAAATATGTGTGAATTTTCTCTAACCCTAATTCTAAAATTTTTTTAGCTTATTTGGAATTATCCATTAGGTTTGGTTTAAATTATTGTCTTTATCTACAGGAATATAACTCACAAATTAAAGTAAGTCTCAAACTTAGCAGAATAGATTGCAGAGATGACACCAAGTTTGTGGGCATCATCAAATCCAACATGATCAGGAATAATCTACAAATAGTGTATAGAAGCCATGAAGCTAAGGCATTATTATTTTGTTCATCAAGCTCCAAAAGCAGGATTCACAATCATATATCCGTCCTCACCATGAATCTTAGTAGATGGAATTAGTTTAGTACCTTCAAGAAGAGATTGTAATCGATGCTATTTCACCATAAGTGTGACTTTCTACATCCAAAGAAGAAAGTTATTATCATCAAGAATGACATTGATCTTTTTATTTAAGAATTATTTAGGAGTCAAAGCAATAACTAGAGTGGAAACTTGAGCCATATCAAAGAATAAACAAACCACAGAGAAGAAGAAAAGAGAGAAAACAATCATCTAAAACTAAGAAAAAGGTCATCGTAGTCACCAGATTTATGGCTTTAGTACCATATAATTAACTAAGAAATGAAAGCAGAGAAGAATAAGAGTAGATGAATATTATAATCTGAATTAATTTCATAAGAAGAGTACATCTATGAAATTATAATCTAGTGACTCTATTTAAGCTACTCATAGTCACAATTGAAACCCACTTGATCAACTAACTCTAACCATCTAGAATTAGATTCGGCATTATCAAATTTACTCACTAATCAGTGCAAGGGTGATCTCAGTATGAAGTAATGCTTAATCAACATAAAATCTATTTGTAATAATTAGGTTATTTTAGGCCACTGTGTTTCTACTTCGTCACAAATTTCTCATATGTTGAATGGCCTTTGTTCTAAATATGAGCTAGTTGTTGCTGTCATTAATGCTGCAAAAGGGCAATATGGTATAAGCACAGTCACTACTATGCTTATTGATGTTGAAGCACAACACAAGACTTATATTCAGCATACATCTTCACATGTGAATTTTGCTATTTCTGTTCCTTGGGTTTCGTTGAATTTTGTTGTAATGAGACAAGAATTGAGAGAAAAATAGGTATTGTATTACTATCGGCTACTGTGTACAAGAATAAACATTTTCTTATATAGTTAGGGCACACAACCCTAGAGAATACATACAATGCCATGTGGCAAAAATAAAGAATAAGAGTAAAAAAAATAAATTAAGTAGTCTCTCTACAGGGCTTTGTGTTATTAGGCTTAAATAATAATCTATTGGGCTTTAGTTAGGTCTTAGATTTAACTTTCCCCCTCAAACGAGAGTTTGGTGAAAGCACTAAACCGAGTTTGTGTCTGAAAGCCCAAAACTTGGAGTAAGTAAACGCCTTAGTAAAAATGTCAGCAACTTGGTTAGAGGATGGGACATACTGGACAGACAGCTGTCGATTAATAACTTGATCTCGAACATAATGAATGTCCAGTTCAATATGTTTAGAGCGGGCATGTAAATTAGAAGCAAGAGCAAAGGTACTGATGTTGTCACACCAAGCAATCCAGGGCTATCTTAGTCGGAGTCCTATTTCACCTGAGAGCAATCAGAGCCATGCAAGTTCTGCAGAGAGATTAGAAAGAGCTCTATATTCGGATTCAGCACTTGATCTGGAGACTACTCGTTGCTTCTTTGCAGACTAAGAAATTAGAGAATCGCCTAAAAAAGCACAATGTCCTCCGATAGATCTCCTGTCATCAAGACAAATGGCCCAATCGGCGTCCAAGAAACCTTGCAGCTGAAGAAAATCGCAAGGCTTGATATGCAGAGCTAGTCTTGATATTCCTCTAAGGTAACAAAAAACTCGTTTTAGAGCTTTCCAATGTACATCAGTAGGTGCATTTAGGAATTGACTCAACTTATTAACAACAAAAATGATGTCCGGTCTGGTTGTAACTAAATACTGAAGAGATCCAATCGCTTGCCTGTAGACAGTAGGATTCTTCATAGTAGTTCCATCTTCTTTTGAATAATAGCAATTGACCACCATTGGAGTAGGTGCAGTAGCACATTGATCCATACTAAACTTTCTCAACAAATTTTCAACATATTTTTCTTGTTTAAGATAAAGACCTGTTCGATCTCTGTAAGCTTCAATTCCTAGGAAATAGTTGAGATGGCCTAAGTCTTTCAGGGCAAAAATAGAATTCAGATTTTCAATGAATAACTTTAGCATGTTGGGAGAATTCCCAGTAATTATAATGTCGTCTACATATATCAAAACAAACATTATGCTGTTGTTGTACCTGAAAAAGAACAGAGATGTGTCACACTTTGAATGCACGAAGTTCCAATTAAGGAGAGTGGTTCTTAGTTTTTCAAACCAAGCTCTTGGAGCTTATTTTAGACCATAGATTGCTTTCTTCAATGAACACACATGATTTGGGAATTTAAAATCCTCAAAACCTTTAAGTTGTCTCATGAATACCTCTTCTTGTAGAGTTCCATTGAGGAAAGCATTGTTGACGTCCATCTGTCTTATTTGCTAGTTAAATGTAACAGCAATAGTGAGAATGAATCTTAAAGTAGTGGTCTTTAAGACGGGACTAAAGGTCTCATCAAAATCAATTCCTGGGTGCTGTTGAAAACCTTTCGCGACCAGTCTGGCTTTATGTTTAGTGATGCCATCAGAATTTTGTTTCACTTTAAAAACCCACTTGCAATCCACTATCTTCTTGTTGCTGGAATAAGGCACTAAGGTCCATGTTTTGTTGAGGATCAAGGCATTAAATTCACTTTCCATTGCTTCTCTCCAGCTCTTTGAATTCAAAGCTTCCTTGACATTTCTTGGTTCTGAGTGAGTTTCTAATTCTTCAACAGCCATACCAACATAAGGGACTTTAAGTTTAATGATTCCAGTCTTACTTCTAGTCACCATAGGATGTTGATTTTGAGGGCTATTTAGTACAGCAACTAATTCACATGTAGCATCTGATTCAAATTGCGACTGAGAGTTTGGAACTGGTGATAACCATACAGGACTTGAAATTGGAGGTTGAAAAGTGGATGTTCCTGAACTTTGAAGTGGGGCAGGGAACTCAGGACTATCTAATTGAGTTTGAGCTGTTTCTTGCAATATGACAGTATCCAATGGACACATGTTTAAAGCTGAAGCATTCAGGGGTTTGAAGAACACTTGCGGATGAACTTCTTCAACTTGTAAAGCTTTCTTGTTTATGAATCATGTTTCAAAAGGAAATTTAGACTCATTAAATACTACATGCCTGGATAAATATATTCTCCCTGTAGAACTTAAGCATTTAAAGCCTTTATGTGAATTGCTGTAGCCCAAGAATACACACTTAGTGGACCTAAATTAGAGTTTATTTTGATTGTAAGGTCTCAAATATGGATAGCATGCACATCCAAATACTTTAAGTTGAGAGTAGTCTGGATGTTTGACATGTAGTATGGTATAAGGTGAAATTCCACTTAGAACTGGTGTAGGCAGTCTGTTTATTAGTTCTGTGGCAATGTGGAAAGCTTCCCACCAGTAGAAAAGAGGCATTTTAGCTTGAGCTAATAGTGTGAGTCCTATCTCTACAATATGTCTGTGCTTTCTTTTAGCTCTACCATTTTGTGGTGATGTATGAGGACATGAATGGCGAAAATGTATACCAGATTCTTGTAGAAGTTTGGAAAAACTCCCATACTCTCCACCCCAGTCGTTGTGAACAATTTTAATTTGTTTCTCAAACTATTTTTTAGCAAAAGATTTGAATTGAATTAACATAGGTAAAGCCTCATCTTTACTCTTTAGAGGATAAATCTAAGAGTATTGACTGAAATCATCAACAAACAACACATAATATTTATAGCCATTCATAGAGACTAAAGGAGAGGGACCCCAAAGATCCATATGAATTAATTCAAGAGGTGTTGTGGCATGTGAGGTAGATAGTTTGAAAGGTAATGAATGAGCTTTTCTATACTTGCAAGACTCATAAAAGATAGTTTCATTAGTAGGAACTTTCAAATTACAATCATTAATCACTTTGTTTAAAATCCTATCACTAGGATGACCAAGTCTAGAATGCCAAAGAACTCTACTAGAAACACTAGACTTAGATGCTGAAATATCAGCTTCTTCACCCGCAGTAAGAGCAAAATTATCACAGTGATCACCGTGACCTCCAGTTTCCTTAGTATCGCCAACACGATACATTCCATTAGTTGATATCCCTTCTAGCATTGTTTCCTCCGTCTATTGATCCTTCACAGAAAAACCTCTAGTATTAAAAACAATATCAGCATCATTATCATTTGCCATCTTGTAAACACTTAATAAGTTCTTTTTAATTCTTGGAGAATACATGACATTGGATAATTTGACCTTCTTGCTAGGGATATTTTGAATAGTAGTAGAACCCACTTTCTCAACATGAAGTTTGTCACCATTACCTACTATAATTTTCACATTACCATTTGGTTTAGAGGAATTGTCAAGACGGGAAACATCATTTGTGACATGAGTAGAGGCACCGCTGTCCAGGTACCATGAGTCATCACCGACAGTCTCTGGTGTAGCCATAAAAGCAAAACTAAAATCAGAGTTAGGAACATCTCTTGATGGCCCAGAACTTCTAGTACTGGGGTTCACAAAGGTCTTATCAAATCTGTAGAAACACTTATCAACTTGATGACTGAACCTCTCACAAAGCTGACATTTGGGCTTGTCACCACTGGTTTGACCTTTATTATTTCCTCTGCCACAACCATGATAGCCACGGGAACCTCGGCGAACTTGCCAAGGAGCCTTTGAAGCAAAAAAATCCGTAGCATGTGCATAGTTCACAAACTAATTTGAGACATTAATTTGAGCAAATTGGTTCAGCTGCTCCAAACGACTCTTAAAGGTTAAGAGAGAGGTCTGAAATTCTATCTAGCTAAGTATTTCTGCTTCAGAAGAGTGTTTTACCACTAACGCATTATATTCACCATCTAGTCCTGCTAAGATTTGAATGATTAAGTTAGATTAAGGAATGGGATTTCCTGCAACAGCAAGCTGTTCAGTGAGATTCTTCATTTTTGATAGATAAGAGTCCATGGATAAGTTTCCTTTCCGCGTGCGTTGTATTTCTAAACGAAGGAGAAAGACTCTGGCTTTTGTTTAGGCTCCAGCAAGCTGTTTAGCTGCGAGCCAGAGACCAGCAGATGAAGAAACAATGTGTCATCTGTAAAGAGATTTCCAACGACATAGTGTTGAGTAACCAGCCGAAGAGAATCTGGTCTATAGCTACCCAGTCTTCGAACTCTGGGTTAACAATGACAGAATCACCAGTATTAATAAACTAACGAGGACAGACCTTGGTCCCATTAATGAATCCTTCGAGCTTGAAACCTTTAATGATAGGAAGGACATGCATTTGCCAGACAATAAAATTTGTTCTGTCCAACTTGACAGAACATATTTGACTTAGAGAACCAAAGTTGCCATTCAGCTTAGGAAGATTAGAGGCAGCAAGCAAAGAGGCAATACTAGAGCTGGATGACGATGAAAAAGAACCTGCAGTGTTTGATGGAGAAGAGGCCATGGTGTGGCTCTGATACCAAGACAAGAATTGAGAGAAAAATAGGTATGTATTACTATCAGCTACTGTGTACAGGTGTAAGCATTATCTTATATAGTTAGGGCACACAACCCTAGAGAATACATACAATGCCATGTGGCAGAAATAAAGAATAAGAGTAAAAAAATAAATTAAGTAGTCTCTCTACAGGGCTTTGTGTTATTGGGCTTAAATAATAATTTATTGGGCTTCAGTTGGGTCTTAGATTTAACTAATGACTCTGGAAAAAAATAAATTAACAAAGTTAATTAGTAACATATTTTGATGTTATTTTTATAATTTTAGAATAAAAATGACGGTAATCTAGTGGAAAGTTAACTGGTAGTTTATCCTTTAGATTTTGGTTTCGTATCTTGTAGTGTAAAGGGAGAAATTTTATTTTTTATTATTTTTGCTTCATTTTTTTGAAATTACCAAAATGCCCCTATTGATAAAAGGAAAATAAAATACAGCACGCTCAATCATATGTATATATATATATATATATTTTATCAGTGCGCTTCTCCATCTCCATTTGAGTATGGTGATGGAGACAAGAGGGAGCTAGAACCTTCCAAGCCTTTCTCTGCAATTCTCCTTCCCTTTCAGTCACCGATGAGAGCAAGTGTGTGAGGGATTTTCTAAATATTATTGATAGAGGTCACCAGATTCTTCTTTCCCTCTCTCACATTGTCTAAATTCCCTCTTCCATTCATGTCTTGCTGTGAGTGTCAGTGTGTCGCTGGATTTTTCTTCATCCTCGTTCGTCCATACATCACTAGTGTCTGTGTGAAGTAGGAGATCTTTTGTTGCTAGAGATTGCTGGATTAATTCTTCCACGTCTTCTCCTATTCGTGCTGTCTCTGTTCTGGTGAGGGAGTGAGAGCTTTGCTTCTTCCTTCTTCTTCCCTCTCGCATGATTTGTTGTGGCTAAGCCCAAAGATTCTCTTCCTCCCTTTCTACTGTGTTTTGTAGCACATTTGATCCCTCAATCATGATCTCTTGTGATGTATGAAGGATTTGGGTGTTGGCCTCATTAGATTTAAATTTATAAAGTTGTTTGGAAGCTGTATGGATTGAAATTTTTAGAGTAGGAAGCATGATGATATACTTTGAATTTTTAATGCACTCTAGATGTTTGATAAAATGTCTAGAAGAGTTGAAGTGGAGTAATTAACTATATTCAATATATTAAGGACTAATATTATGGATTTAAATTTATTTTGGATAAAGAGATGAATCTGGGAAGCATAGAAAATTTATTTAAATGTTCAAAAAAATTTTGAAAGGAGATTTAAAGAGTAAATTGTTTGTTGTGTGGTTGATAACTTATAAACCATGGTATTGTTTCATGATTTAATTGTGCTGTTTCATGATTTTATTTTGGGATGTACATGAAGTATTTAATGAAATGTGATGGATAGATGCTGGTCTATGGTGGCAACCAAGTGTGATGAATGGGTTACTAGAATAGGGGGGAAAACTAATCATCCCTCATTGTTCTTGCCTGATGCGTAAATGGGAGATTAGTTTAGATTCAAGCAAAATGAAATTCAGGTTTGAAGAGGATGATTTTTGATAAATAATTCTATTATAATTGTTCTGGCTATTGCTTGAGGAGGATGGTAGTGGGTTAGGATTTTATGAGTTTAAATTTATTCTTGATGGGATATGAATTTAGAAAGTATGATAAATCTAAATGTTGATATTGAAAATTATTGGACAAGGGTTCAGAATCCCAATTGATTAAATTAGGAGTTGATGTTGAAAGGTCTAAGTGGGGATCATGTCTCAGTCAAAGGCTTAGCTATGGCGAAGGGATTTGGGAGGAATTTTGCAATATAGAAGATGGTGTTCGGGAAAACTTGAATTGTATAAATTAATTATGATCTGTCAATGTTGGAAGGGATT